ATCATGAGAATTATCCGTAAATTTGCCGATAAGTTTGCCATCGAAAAGCAGACAAAATAAAGCCAAATTTTTGTACAAAATTTGATGACAAATCTTCAACAAACGAAGGGATTGTTTTGCTTTCAGATATTGTCATTATTTGTCTTCTAATTTGCTGGTATAGTTGAAGGGTGGGGCAAAGTTGATGTCGGGCTTAAATTTGTTAAATGGTGATTTATTTGAGGGTTACGATCCCGTGGTTATCTACCGATTATCTACCGAGCAACAATGCAAAAATGCCATTGTTCCACTTTGGCCCACCCCCCTCAATATCTTATTATGAACAAAATTTGTCAATATTGTGATTAAAGCAAATTCAAGTAGTGAATAAAAGTGGCTATATCTTTTCTGAACTTCAAAGTCTATTGATAATTTTGAGGAGATGTCAAGGAATTGGATCAAAATAAAAATCTTTCAAAACCCTCACCATCGTCAATCATATAGCCAATTTTTTCTGTGGTTGTGTATGAAATAAGATGGCTTCTCAAATATTTTCACATTTTTGCCGCGTCTTCTCAGCAGTTGTATTGTGTTCTAAGTTGTCTTCACACACCTGTAACATGCATAAAAATCAAACAATTCAATTTGTTTTTTTCTCTTCAAAATGTGCATCTTCTGACACAATTTTCAAAGAGGAATTTTTTAATAAAATTTTCAGTGAATATATAGGACCAGAAAACAATTTTCCACCAAAGGCCAAAGTTAAGATCCCATTAGGTGGCTCCCATTTTCAATTTGAATATACGAATTCATGATGAAAAATTAAAAAGATATCAAAACTTCGTCTGCATTTGAACGTGGATGCATAATGTAAATTTGTCGCTTGAAAAATCAATGCACCTTATTCAGATCTCAAACAATTGAATGATTTTTTATGTGTTCCAATGGGATCTTCACTTTGGCCTTTGGTGAAAATATTTATTTTGGAGCCAATATATCCACTGAAATTTTTATAAACAAATAGAATAGGTACAACCGGGAAAACAAGTATTTTTAAATTTTTTTTGACGTTTTTGAAAGGAAAGTGATGGAAGAACGAAGAAAAGAAAATTGACCATTTCCGTATAAAAAGTAGGTCAGAAGACACACATTTTGAAAAAATGAAAATAAATTGGTTGATTTTTACGGAAGATGTAGGTGTTCGAAGACAAAACTTGGAATAAAATATATAATAACTGCTCGCAGAATGCGTCAAAAAAATCAGGAAAAATTTGAGAAGTCATCATATTTCACATACAACCCCCAAAAAAATAGGCTTTATGATTGACGATGGGGAGGGTTTTGACCACGTTGAGATCACATGGCATTGCCCATATATTATTGATGTAGAAATATGAGAATCTATTGTTCCTTTCAGTCAAATACCTATTCATTACGAATTTGTAGAATTTGAAATCTATTTCTCATTAATTTTTCCAACATCCTTTTTTCCATAATCATTCCACAAGATGAGAAATTAGATGTAATTATTTCATATTTCATATTTATTCACTTATATCGGTAATTCCACCAATTACCAACTGACCATTTTGCGCCAAGTCTGGGATTTCGATAAAATCATGGCAAAAAACTATCTTTTATGAAAAATAAAAAAAAAATCTTGATTATTTTTTCAATCCAAATTTCAGTCAACAGGATTAGACCATTAGACATCACATGGTACAAAGAACATGGTTTTCAACTGATAATTGTTTGATAATTTTCTCTGGTAGTTGCTATGTAAAAAAGAAAAGATCTTTCAGTGGAGTGAACCCCTCGTCGAAACTAACAGATCAATTTTGTCTCATGGTGCAATCCTGTTGACCGAAATTTGGATTGAAAAAATAATCCCCCGAATACCACTCGAACTTCAAAATTAATCAGGTATTTGCCTCAATTTTCCCTGCATACAAACAAAGTCGTCAAGTATTTCAGAAAAATCACTCGCGCTTCGCGCTTGTTATTTTTTAACTGAAAAAACTTGACTTCTTCCTTTGTTTGCAACGAACCTATCGGGAAATACCCAATAATTTTGAAGCTCTTGTGGTATA